GATGAATGACTTTAAGCCAACGCACGATCCAAACATAGACACTTTCAAGGTTCAGTACCTGATTGGTGGATCGGCGATTCTGGCAGTTCTGTTTCCATATAGGTGGATACCATCAGAGGTATTTGACCCACTCATTTAAACGGGGGGATTAGGGTGTCAGATTTCGTAGTTTCTCGAGATCGCGGCGCCGGTGCGATTAGTTCCGGTGGCCCTGATACTGCCGTTTCTTCACTCCCGTGGGTGAATTGCTGGTAGTTTCGAAAGTTTTGAAAGTGCCAGGCTGATGGGTTTATTTTGGGTTACCCTCTCGGTAGATTCTGTGGACCTTTAGTATCTGGCTCGAAAGCGTCGCCATTCTCCCTCAACTTTTTATGGTTCAACGAACAGGCGAAGCCGAAACTATAACGACTCATTACCTATTTGCGCTGGGTGCATATAGGGCCTTGTATATACCGAACTGGATCTACCGTTATTTTACGGAAAATTGGCACGTCGATCCCATCGCTACGTTGGCTGGTATCATCCAAACAATCCTTTACTCGGATTTCTTTTACATCTACTACACCAAGTATGATTGACCCTTTCCATTCGTACCTTTCTTATCCCTTTTGCCCCACGTACCCTCCACCCCACGTACCCCTCCGTACCCCTCCAACCTTCCCCTGAATACATACTTTCGTATCAAACGCCCTGTCGATCATCGGTCGATTGATAGGTTAAGCTTTTGCAACAAGACTAATGGCCGTGCTTTCGCAAATCAACAGGGTGTTTAAGGGTAAGAAGTTCGAGCTTCCGGTTTAGAATACCGTGAGTGTGGGTCCGCGCTCCCACTCCTGAGGCTCGCTTGCTTGTTTCCGCGTAGTGTGTGTGCTGTTTCTTGGAACGAACGTGGTATGGTAGCATGGTGTGTGATAGAATGTCAACTGGTGGGAGAATCAATAAAGTTTAGGGAGTGAACGGGATACGAAGCTAGAAAAAAACGGCGGGGAAGAAAAGGAAGCAGCAGATTCAATGAAAATAAGAAAAAGTAAAAATAAAAACACTTTGCTGAAACTGCTCTGCGCATGCGCTGCGTGCGGTCGCGTTTTACCAGGTGCCATGCACCAAGTTTGGAAATAGATCAAGAGGCGAGGTGGGAGAGCCCGGGGTATGGCGCGCCGAGAGATTTGACGGGCAGACAAGAGGGTGTGCAGGCACTGTATTTTTATGTCCGATGGCTGGTTCAGGCCCAAAATGCGGGGAACTAGAGGGTGTGGTGCCGGCTTTTGCACACTGCGAGGCACTACATACAGACCGCTGCCTTTCTTTGGGCTTCGGAACACCTAAAAAAGAAAAGATTGGGGAACCAAAAAAATTAGTTGCAGTAACTCAGGGGGTCATGCTTATTTTCTTTTCTTTTGCTGTGCACCGCGGGGCGCCTTGCCATGGGAAGGAGGAACGAGGATGAGCTGTAATGCTTCACTTTTGGAGTACATGATATTTTTCTTTTTCTGCTCTGTTCAGGGCTTTTTTTTCTTTTCTTGGGGGGTCGGTTTTCGAATTTTGGGTTTCAGTGTCTCGTAGGGGCGTGCTTGATCTTGTCTGGAATGAAGGCAGAAAAGGCTGCGACGAAGCATGTGAATTCCATTCTCTCGGTATCAAAAGGTAAGTCTGAATGTGATATGGCCATGGGAAAACTAAGTATGTAACTTTTTTTTTTTTAGTTATCGGATCCTCAGAAGGGGTTCAATGCTTCTAGAGAAAAGCAATCAACTGGGGGTAGAAGTAGGCTACCCGCATTGATGTACTCAACCGTTCCTTCCGTCCCAGGGTTACGAGTAATGAGAATCAGATGAAAGGAAGCAAAAATAAAAATAAAAAATAAAAAAGAGATCAAGCCCGGGTTCAGAAACCGGGAAGAAGCAAATAAAAAGTATCAAATATTTAGTTGCCAACGAGGTTCTGGATTACTACTAGTATTACTAGAGTAGCAAGTATACCAAATATTACTTGCCAAGGCTCCAAAGATTCAGTAGCGAAAATAGGTAATCACACAACAGCCAACCACAGTGCTGTGGACGTTCATCCTATCTTTCGGACCGGGGAAGAGGGAAGGGCACAGACGGGGAAAGGTGATAGGGCTGCCTGTGTCTCTATTTGGTTTTGGTGGTCTCGGCCCTTTTAGCGGCCCTGGCGGTGGGGAGAACCGAGAAGGGTTATGCCATGGTGCTGAGCTGTACTCTACACAACGGGCAAGCCAGCACAATTATGCTCCTGGTCCGATTTCCAAACGGTTACTCGATGTCTGATGCTGCTGGTTTAATGATGGACAGGGGAATAAAAATAAAAAGCGCCATTAGCGAGCAGGAAGGAATCCACTGCCGTCGATCATCGGTAGGCAACAGAGACGAAAAAAACGAAGGAAGAACGGGCAGCCGAAAATTTGTCGGGGATTGAAGAGGCGAAACGGGCTCGTTATCCACCAGGGGCGCGCGAAAGCGGCCCCCGGGGGGGGGGGGGGAGCCACAGCTCATGTATCTATGCGCACAATCGATCCATCTAATCCAGCCGCATGATTTGCATGTGAGTTGAAAGATAGAGAGAGGGCTTGTTTCGTGGTTTGAAGAAGAAGCCAGATCTGGATAACTATGTGTTATGTATTTATGTAGGTGTGGATGAGGTGGTGTGTGGTGTTTAGGTGGTGTGTAAGGCATGATGTACGTGTGTATGTAAGTAGTTAAACAGAAAGACAGGATGCGAATTAGACCGGGAATGGGAAAACTATGCGTGTGTGGGGAGGAAGCCTAGATACTCCGATTAGGGATCTGGTGAGAGTTGGGGGTTGTATAGTGGGGGTAAGAATAAGAGTAACAGGTGAGTGAAAAGGTAGGTGCTTTCTTACGAGATGAAGAAAGAGAAGGCATTTGATGTCAACAAAGGATAAACAGAGCAAACACTCCTTTGATAACCTGGCAATTCCGAGATCTGAAATATGTGGATATCATCGTGCGTGGGAGGGACCTTGACTCGTAGTGTGGGGAGATTAGACATGCAATGAACAAGAGGGGAGAGGAAGAAACCGATCGAGTGTTTTGAGACTTTCTGAGCGATTGTCACGATCTCACTGGAGACAAGGTTTGTATAAACGAATCCAATCCAGAGAGGTTTGTGACATTATAAAGAGAGTAAAGATATGGTACGTGTGTGATGGTACATTCAGGCTATCGAGAGTGAAAACTTTCCTCCGAGATCGCAAGTTTTCATTTCTTCAGATCTTAATTCGATTCTCAGTCTGATTCGCTCGCTTGTCTATCGTAGAAGAGGGGTGTGAAAAAAAGGAAAACCGTTGAAAATTGAAGTAAGAACTTCTGGGCTTTTGAAAACGACATTTGTCACTAGAAACCTCAAGTTACACATGGTCAAAATTTGGTAAGAGGTACCTATAGGTATTACTTGCCTGGTGCAATGAGTTATGTATCTACACACAGGTACATAAAGTGCATACTTCCTAATTATACCAAGTAGAGTACTCCGAAGTACGTGTAGGGCGTAATTCTCATATCGTGCTGTTCCAGGTTACGAAGCTGTCCAAAATGGAATAACGTCGATCAAAATTAAGACGTGGACAAAACGTCATGTTTGTTGAATCTTGAAAGGTCACGAAATTGGAATTGTGACAGTTCAGGGAGGACCGTTGATCGTCCCCAGCCGAGTCACGGACGCCGATTCAACTACACCACACTAATCTCCATGATACTCCCACTTCCCTCTCTCTCCAGCGAATCCGGAGGTTTGTGATGTGACGGTGATACGTACTCGGATATCTACTCGAATACTCTACCTACCTCGATTAAAAACTTTATTGCAACATGCACTGGGAATCTATCGCAATAACTGGTATCATGGCAAAGAGACCTCTCTAGCTACGTGAATATCTGCCGTGTTCATGAAACACTCAGCTCAGGTCTGAAATGGCCATCAACATATCGGGATTCCACTCCTGAATGAGAGTCCTGGCGCCGGGAAGCCGAGTGATGAAAGTAAGACTCGGTGTTCAAATTTTGGAAAAGAAGTACCTATGTACATGTAGGTACATGTACTCTAGCATCAATAAGTTTTACCTCCACGCGATATGTAGAGCACCAAAGGACCCCACTCATCCCGCCAATCCACAACCCACCAGTCCACACCCCCCCGTTCAACCCATGCCCCAAATCCTGCAGACAGCACCGGCCTGCAGCCCACCACCAACCCTCCCACTCCCATCCCACCCTCCACTACGCCCACTTCAATTCCTCCCGTGAGGCCAAGCAACGTACTGTACACGCACAGCACGAGCACCGAAACAGCATCCTGAATCCCTCTGCTGCAGAAAGCTCGTCCGCTGTAAGTAACCTGTAGACTAGCCTCTTCTCTGCTCGCTCGCCTGTTGTGTGACAGTAGAACATCCTCCCACCCACTCTCTACTCGGGGAATAAAAATAAAATATACCCATTCCTTCACGCTCGGTTCTCCCGATCATCGTACTCTACTTATCGATAGTTGGCCATCCATCCATTATCACTGATACTGTTATTAGGTCGCCCCAACTTAATAGCTGCCCTATTTCCCGCTTGCTCCTTCCCTCTCTCCCTCTTCCTCTCCTCATACTCAACATCATTACATTATATACTCGAGAGAAGTCCAGGCTCATTCTTTTTATAATCCTGCCTATATACCTACTACATATCCACCCTCATCCTCAACCATCTTCACCAACAAATACATTAAAGCCTGTCCTCTGCCTCTGCCACTTTGAAAGTCCCATCGCACTCGCTTTTAAAGTTTCGCCAATATAGTCGACAAGCATCGGCCAGCCCCACGCTCGTTTAGCTAAAAACACTAACTTCAACAATCATGATGAACACCATGCCAGCTATGGACCGTCATCTCCATAACCTTTCACAATTCGACTTCACCCATCAAGCCGTTTTCACTCTAGCCTGATGTACAATCGCGCTCCCCCACCTGGAAGCCTCATCATGCCTACCCCACTACAATTTTCGCCGAACCCTCACCAACAGGCCCATACCCACCACCACAACATCCACCACCCCCAGCAGCACCACCACCACCACCACCACCAGCAGGCGCAGCAACAGCAGGTGAGACACAATTCGTCTGGGCAGTGTGACTAGAATTTTTGAGAGAACAGCCACTGGCTCAGCGTACCGCTTTCCTACCTAGTGTTAACGAGGTTTTGGCAGTGGTAGATAATACTACTGCCCTTACCTCCGGCTGCATATGGAATGTGGTGGTTACAGTGGCTATTCTGTCGAAGATCCTGTTCCGGTGTCGTCTATTAAAAACGGTTGTTAACATGGCTTTTTAGGATCAGCATGCGGTTCTCATGAACTCAAGTCCCAAACAGCAGCAACACCTCATGCCTACACCTACATCTGAGTTGGGCAACCAGTTTGATGAACAACCACAGAACATGGAAGGTTTCCCCACAGCCGCCGAATTCGAGAACCTTCTGAACGAATACATCCTCTCGCTTTCCCCAAGAAAAGAGACAAGGCTCTCATTCCCCAGAAACGCTACGAAAACATCCGCGCCGTTCTGCGCGACCCCAAATGCACCACAATTGAGTCCGCTCAGTTCAGATTTTGGGCCAAGAAGATGTTCCGTCTGGTGCAGCAGGAGGATGGCTACAATGACGTTGTTTGCCACGAGGGCAAGCCGGTTGCCGTGCGGGAAGACCTGTACCACGTCTTGACAACCTCTCACGGACAGGCGCAGCACGGTGGACGTGATAAGACCTCTGCTCAGGTCCGAAAGAACTACTCATGGTAGGCCGCTTAGTTGGGATTCTAACTATGAGTAACCTGGCTAATAATTGCGCTTAATAGGGTACAAAGGAACTCATTGCACGTTTTGTGCGCAACTGCCCTAGCTGCACTCTCCGCCGTAGCAGCCCCCTCGAGTTCTCTGCTGCTAGCAACGCGAATCGCATGAGCCAGCAGACGATGGAATCTTGTGCACCTTATCTCACTAGCCCAGCCAGTTCCACCGGGAGCCCTCCTCAGAGGCACGTCATGAACTCGCCTTCAAACAGCAGCACCTCTTCAATGAGCCAGTTCCAGCAGGTGGTTTCCTCAGCTGCCTCTTCACCTCTTAATGCCCCGTCAAGCCAGGACAGCTACGGATATTCATTTCCTTCGGTAGTAAATATGCCATTGGACCCCGCGCATGTACACAACACCCAGTCCTAACGACCTCACGAACTGAGACGAAGAACAATATGCGAATATGAGCTAATAAAGAGAAGAGAGAGACGGTTCAGTGCTGGTAGCGGCTTTTCTCAGGTTCAGGATTTTGTCGATTTTGGGTTATGCCATTTATGAATTTGTTAACGGGGTTCTTTGGGGTTCCTTGGTTGTTGTTTTTCACGAAACAATTTGGGCTATGTTTTTGATTATTGATTGTTTTGTCTCTGGGTTTTGTCTTTTTCGTTCAAAAAAAATATGGATGGTTATTTGCTTGGATGGGCGAGCGGTGGAGGTAGTTACCAATGATTTCTTGTTTTTATTTTTGGGGCCCTCTTGTGTTCTTGTTTTGTGTGGGTTCTACTTCTATTATCCTCGCTCGAAGCTCTTTCGACGAGCGAGGGAAGGGTTCCGAGACCCTGCCTAATGCTTTGGGTATATTTCCTGTAGTATTCCTCCTCAAGAAGGTGTTGGTTGTTTTTTCTATATTCTCTTATGTATATTTCCGTCGCGGCTTCTTCTTGTTTGAGTGGTGGTTTCTTATCTGAGGTTTCTGTCGTAACGGCGAGACTACCGTGGCCAGATTGCCAGACAAATTAAATCATGTTTCCGTATTTTCATGTTTTTTCTTTAACTCTCTTTTTTTTTCATTTCATGTATTGGCCTGCTGTGTAGGCCAGGACAGGGGGACCGGTCAATAATTGAAGATTGTACATTTTTTGCTGATATCAACCCTCTTATTTCTCAGGCCCTTTGGTTCTGTTGCTTGTCTTATTTTAGGTTTCATTTCAAAAACCTCGATTAAATCGGATCAATAGATTTGCTCCTATCCAGTTCGTATCCACTATTGCCTAAGATATCGCGTGGGATGCATGGCCGATCCGAGTGCCAGCCAAGCAAAGGAAACCCGTATGAAAGTAAAGCACCCCGAAACAGACATTTACTGCGGTTTTCGCTATTCAAGTTCTAGACCTGACTGCAGCAGATCAGAGGAGATTAAAGTAGCGAAAACTAACTGTTGTTAGGAGGGGCGTAAAAAAAAGCCCACCAAGGGCCATGCACTCGATCGATCAAATCGCGAACTTTGCAACCCTCGCCTTCCCCAGCAAACCGACCCTTTCTTGACGGAGCTCTGATTTTTTATTTCCTTTCTGGTTATGGACTTTCCCTATCCTACTTTCGTTGTCGTCGACG